ACGGTACACCTCAAGAACTGTACCGAGATGCTGCCGAAATTCATCCACGTCAAAATCTAATCTCATGTAGCTGTAAATTACATGACGTGACTATGCATTTCAGAATGGGATAGGGCCCTTACCGGAGGCATAATGAAAGATTTTGTACGAATACAACATAATTGTTGTATTGTCATTGTGATTCCAGGAACGATGAGCAGGAGGTGGATACAGAACCCGAATAGGTGCGCAGACGAATACTTGGATGGAATCGAGGATTTTATTGACTTTGCACGGACACACAACCCGGGTGCAACTAGAATTCGGTGTCCTTGTAGGAGCTGTAACAACACTTTGTGGGACACAATTGAAAATGTTCGATTTCATTTAGTGAGGAATGGAATGATTGAGACATACATCGCTTGGAACCATCACGGGGAACAGTTAGACATTGCTTCGTCTTCAGGGGCCACAAGAGTAGACAATGTTGAACCCATTGTGGATCCTAATGAACAAGTAAGGGATATTATAAATGATGCATTTTCATTTGCATCGACCAGCAGCATTCAGCAAGGTGAAGATGATGTGCCTACACAAATGGACAGTGCAGAGTTCGAACAGTATGAAAATCTGCTAAAAAATGCCAACCAAGAGTTATACCCGGGGTGCGAGAGCTTTTCCGTTCTGACGGCGATTGTGGAGCTAATGCACGGAAAAATAAAGTATCGTATGTCGAACTTGTGTTTCGATTACTTTTTGGGGGTTTTCAAGAAAATGCTTCCAACGGACAATTGTTTGCCGAAAGACCACAGACAGGCGCAGAAGATGTTGAGTGGTCTTGGATTGGGTTATGAAAAAATCCACGCTTGCAAAAATAATTGCATGTTATTCTACAAAGAGTATGAAACATTGGATACATGTCCTATATGCAATGAGTCATGGTTCAAACAGACGTCTCATAATAGAATGACTAAGGTTCCACAAAAAGTCATGCGTTATTTGCCCCTGAAAACAAGATTACAGCGACTTTATATGTCGACGCATACTGCCACAGACATGAGATGGCATAAGGAAAAACGGGTAGACGACGATGTGATGCGGCATCCTGCAGATGGGGAGGCATGGAAAGATTTCGATCGAATGTTCCCCGAGTTTGCTGCTGATCCCCGAAATGTGAGGTTGGGACTTGCGACTGACGGTTTCAATCCGTACGGGGTTCTAAACCAACACCACATCACTTGGCCGATTTTCGTATTCCCATATAATTTTCCGCCTTGGAAGTGCATGAAAAAAGAGTACATGATGATGACTGTTTTGATAACTGAGGATCCTGGTAGGTCAATCGATGTGTACTTAAGGCCGTTGGTTGATGAGCTGAAGGATTTGTGGACAAACGGTGTGCGCACGTACGATAAATCCACTGGGAATCACTTTGCGGGCGGCAGTTATGTGGACTGTGAATGATTTTCCCGCATATGCAATGGTTTCGGGGTGGAGCACAAAGGGTTATATGGCATGCCCTGTATGCAAGGAAGATGTAACTTCCGGTTGGCACGCTGGAAAAGTGTGTTACCTTGGGCATCGAAGATGGTTGCCATGGGACCACGAGTGGCGGGAAAAGGATAAAGAGTTTGACGGGAACAAAGAGCGTCGCGCAAGACCTAGAGAATCGTCCGGTGATCAGATCTTGGAACAGCTAAACCGTTTGGATTTTGCTCCGTTCGGGAAAACAGTTAGTAGGACTAGACCTGCTACACATATGAACTGGACGCACAAGTCTATGTTTTTTGAGCTGCCATATTGGTCGAAACTAAAATTGAGGCACAATCTCGACGTTATGCATGTTGAGAAAAATGTGTTTGACACATTGATGGGAACGATTCTAGATATCAAGGACGATAAAAGCTCGTCTTGATTTGGAAAGAATGGGCATACGAAAGGGTTTATGGCTGAAAAGGGGCAGTGATAAAGCTATACGGGATCTTGCATTTTTTTCCATGAAACCGAATGACAAAAAAGAGTTTCTGCAGTTTGTATCGTCTGTAAAGTTTCCTGACGGGTATGCTTCTAATATCGCACGTTGCGTGAATGTTGAGGGGGGAAAATTTACTGGACTCAAGAGCCATGACTGCCATGTGTTTATGCAACGCCTACTGCCTGTGGGGATTCGACACCTATTGCCGGAAGATGTAGTCAAGCCAATCATATTGTTGTCCAGATTTTTTTCCCAACTGACGGCAAAAATGTTGCGAAAGACAGACATTGATCAATTGCGCGATGACATTGTCCAAGTCTTATGCAAGTTTGAGTTGATATTTCCTCCGGCTTTTTTCACGAGTATGATTCACGTGATGATTCACTTGCCAGAAGAGGCATTGCTTGCTAGTCCAGTCAACTATCGCTGGATGTATCCAATAGAAAGGTATATAATCCTCATCATTTCTGTATGCATCTTTATCCCATGCTTGGTACTTGCTAATTTGCATATTTTCGTTTTAATTTGGCAGGCTTCTTGGAGAGCTGAAAAAAAGCGTACGCAACAGAGCGAAGTCCGAAGGATCAATTGTAGAGGCTTGGGTTCAATATGAGGCGCTTACTTTCTGTGGAATGTATTTAAAGGATGTGGACACAGCTTTCAATCGACCTCAGCGCAATAATGACGGAGGTGTCAGAAATGAGCAACTTTCTATTTTTAGCCAAAGCGCACGACCCTTTGGAGATCCTGTACGAGGAGAGTCGTTTTCCAGGAATGACATGGAGGTAGCTCATTGGTTCGTATTGAACAATTGTGATGAGATAATAGCATACTTAGAGGAGCATGAAGAGATGATGAAGCGAGAACATCCATCACATTTGTATTCCAAGAAACACCGTGAATTGTTTCCACAATGGTTTTTGGAATATGTAAGTTATAAGTGTTTTGTAATTTACATATATATTGTAGTATTTAATTTTCTCAAACTAATATGTGAATGTTTTAATTAATATTAGGTGAATAAGTTGAAATCAGAGAATTCCCCAGATTACAGTGAAGAGTTATATAACTTAGCATTCGGCCCAATTCAGGCTGAATTGTTCTCGGGTTGTCATGTTAACGGCGTCAAGTTTTTGGGGACTGCACGAGATGACAAGTTGTGTACGCAAAACAACGGTGTCCTTGTTCCGGGTGGAGGCGAAAGTACGGACATTAATTTCTATGGCAAACTCACAATTGTCGTGCAATTGCTTTACAAAGACCGATACCAAGTGATCATGTTTAAGTGTCGATGGTTTGATACGAACCCAAATAGGCAGGGAAGTGTTAAAATTGATCATGGGTTACTATATGTGAACATCAACAGAACTTGGTATGATGACAACCCTTACATTTTGGCAAACATGGCAAAACAAATTGTCTATCTAGATGACCCTAAAGCAGGGAGCGGGTGGAAAGTTGTTCAGCAGATGGATCAGAGGAATGTGTATGCTATACCAGAACAAGATCCATCTGAAAACGACGTCGACGTCGCTGACCAACGTTTCGAATCTTCCATGGAACATGATGCAGAAACACTTCTAGATACAAATGTCGTACAAGAACCCTTTCAGCTTGAAGGAGTGTCTTCAAGAGAAATACCGATTCAGTCAATTACAATTGACCTCGGTTTTCTTCCATGATACGATCCAACCATGGCCCCGAACAACAATGATGATGTACTTATGAAGGAGGAGGAGGAGGAGGAGGAGGATTGGGAGACCCAAAGTGATCACAGCGACGATAACGAAGATTATTATAGTTCAGATGATGAATGATGTAATTTTTTTGCTACTTGCCATGTAAAACATAGTAATGTGAAATTATTTGTAACTTAATAATGTTAGTGTAAAGATTTTGGCAAGTATGCTTGTTTGAATATATATACTTGTTATATCCATGGATTAGGCATCATCAGGAGAATATGTAAAAAAAAAAATGGCATAATCAGGAGAATCTTTGTAAAAAAAATAAAAATAAAAAAAATCAGTGACCTTTTTGTGTGACGAAAAATGGTATATCGTCACGCCAGATGACTTTGCGGGACGACAATCTTCGTCGCACAAAAACAAAATTTTTTTGAAATATAAGTGACTCTTTCGCGTAGACTCTGTAAACAAATGACCGGTCGTCGCCATTAACCCGACCGGTCGTCGCATCTCTCTGACCGGTCGCCTATATTTGCGTGACGAACTATTTTTTCGTCGCACAGGGATACTTTGCGGGACGTAGATTTTAGTCGCGCAAAGTAGAAAATATATCCAAATTGTGAAGTTTCTGAGTGCCCCTTGCGCGACGAAATGTATTTTGCGTCGCACAAGGAAATTTTGCATGACGCAGATTGTCGTCGCGCAAAGTAGAAAATATCCCCATATTAAGAATATTCGGAGTGACCCTTGCGCGACGATATATCCTATGCCGTCGCAGCTGTCATAATGCGGGACGAATACCCTTCGTCGCGCAAGATACCATATGCAAAACCATTAATCCTAAGCTTTAATTTTAATTTTGCCATCTACTAAGCCTTAATTTTAATTTTGCCATCTAAATCATATGTTTTTCATTGATTTTAGTGAAGATCATCATTCATACCCTTTTAATTATGGAAATGGTAGAGGAGAATCTTTTTGTAGGGTTATCAACCTCCATACGAATAGATTTCAGGGTTATCAATTTCCGTACGAATCTTTTTGTAGGGTTATCAATCTCCATATGTTTTGAAACTAAAAAATGTTCATTCAACTCTACAAAACTAGTTTCAACGATCCAACCATCAAACGTGTTTGTATATACTGGGAGATCGTATATCCCAAAAATCGCAACAAACAAACATTCAGAGATCATGTAACGTACAAAAAATTTCAATGGTTATAAATGAAAAATCACAATTTAACGGTTATTTTAATTCTGATTTTTATAATTTTTTACAACTACACTCATTGACCCCATATAAATACAATGATTGAATTTGATCTTCAATTGAAATGACTTACACTAGTGGATACCATAAAATCTTAAGCTATATATAACAAAAGTATGTATAAACTCTTAAATGTTAGAGAATATATTGTTGTGATGACATACACATTATACGAAATTCGTGTCAATGATCCAACCGTTAAACGTGTTTGTATATACTGTGAGATCGTATACCCCAAAAATCGCAAATAACAAATATTCAGAGATCTAGAAATGGGACAAAATATTCAACGGT